AGGCCCAAAACATCAGCTTTCCTGCTCCTCTGATGCTGCTTGGCCTGCTGTGTTCATCCAGCTCTACACCTTGTTATCTCAGATTCTCCAGCTTCTGCAGTTCCTCCTATCTCTTATCTTAAACAGAGCCAGTTTCTAAATGATTTGTGATTCATGGCCCTACAGAGGAGTCATGAACCAAGGTTTGGATTCTTGTCCTTGGGAAAGGTAGTTAATAAAGATATTACCCATGATGCGTGGCTCCTGTACCTCCTCTTAGCTCCCCAAACTGTCTCCATGATAACACTTGCCCCCATTCCACCCCTATGATTCATTATAGTCCCAATGACAGCTCAACCCCCTGCCCACTGCCGATAATACCCTCATGTCCTCCAGGTCAAATCATTGCACCTCCATGCCATTCGACCTGCATACATTATCACTGTTAATGGTCTTCTCCTTTCCTCTGGCATCGCCTCTGACCGTCTTCAGTTTTCCCCTGTGACTACCAGTGCTTTCAATATTTCCTTTTATATTCTTGCTCTTCTCTCTGATCCCATTTTCATAAAAAATCTCCATGCCGAGCCTTAGAACTATCCTCCCACCAGGACTTGTTCAATCGACCTGCTCTTTCACCCTCCCCAATGTACCAAATTCCCCCATTGTGACCTCATCCTTAATAGGCAGCTCTCACCTTTCCTTATCCTCCATGCCCCTTTCATTGCCTTGCTCCCAGCTGCATCCTGCTTTCCTCCCATCATTCCTCAGGGGTCTTTCTCAGTGGCCCTAACAACCACACCCTTTAAGTTCCTTGCCATTCCTTTCTATCTAACCCACCTTTGTCTGGATCTTTAGAGTTAAGCCCCTCTTTTGAGTTGAACACTCTTTGAGTAAAGACCAGCTTGTCTACCACAGTTAGGTATGCGAGTATCAGCCAACCTGGAGAGGCTTGTTGACTGGGACGTGTTTTACTCCTTACGCTTAAAAGAGTTTGCACAAAGAAATGTCAAGTTTGAATTCACCAGACCTAGGAGGAAGAAGTCTAACTCACAGTCTACATGGCTAATACATGCAGTCAGATTTTGAACATGTGTTTCCTGGTTGCATCTGACAAGATTATTCCTGTGAATGCTGTTCCAGCTGGATGGGCAATTGATTGGTACTCATGACATGCTAATAAATGCAAAAGAGTCTCCTGACTGTTACAGCTGTTAAAACTCACCCACCCAAATAGTTCTGAGCATTTAATACCAAAACAATAACCAGCCATTGGAAAATTGCATTTTTGACTCCCGCAAAATAAATTAAGTCAGCAACTATTGGCCTGTTAGTTATAATGATGTGGAGGCTTTTAACAATGATAACTTTGAACAAAGTTGTCACGTGGTCAAATGCAAGTTAATTAAGGAAGGCCAGCATGCGTTTGTTATGGGTAAATTGTGTATAACCCACTTGTTTGAGCTTTTTGAAGCGGTAATAGAGAATGTTGTTAATGTTATCTGTTGATATGGTGCATATGGACTTCCAGAAGGTATTTGATAAGGTACTGCACAATAGACTTGTGAGCAAAGTTATATCTCCTGGAACAAAAGGACAACGTGTACGCAAAGACAAAATTGGCTTCGTGATGGGAAACCAAAAGTAAAACTTTTTTTTGGATTGGTGGAATGTTTATGGTAGAATTTACCAGAAGTCAGTGGTAGGCCCCTGTTCTTCTTGATATGTTAACAATCTAAATCTTGGTGTACAGGATACAATTTCAAATTTTGTGGATGATACAAAATTTGGAACTATTGTGAACTTTGAGGCGAATAATGTAAATCTTCAAAAGGACGTAGAGATGTTGATGGAAATGTGAGGAAATGACAGATGAGATTTAATGTGGAGACATATGAAATGATTCATTTTGATAGAAAGAATGTAGAGAGAAAATATAAAGTAAAAGGTAAATTCTAAAGGGGTTGCAGGAGCAGAGAGACCTCAGTATTTAAGTGCAAACAATACTGAATGTGGTACGACAGGTTAAGAGCACAATTAATAAAACATACAGCATCTTGGTCTGTATCAATAGGGCACTAGAGTACAAAAGCAAGAAAGTAATGTTAAACCTGGTATAGAGCAGTATTTTGGCCTCACTGTAGTATCATGTACAGCTCTGGACACTGCACTTCTGGAAAAATATAAAATCAATAGATAGGGCGCAGAAGAGATTCATATAAGTAGTTCCAGGGATGAAGGACTTCAGTTACATGGCAAGATTGGAGAAATTGGGACTGTTTTCCCAATTTCCCAAATCTTGACTGAGAAAGTCAAGAGGAGACTAGAAACCATAAGACCATAAGAAAAAGGAACATGAGTAGAGTATTTGGTCCCTCAAGCCTGCTGTGCCATTTAATAAGATCATCACAGATCTGATGTTCCTCACGTCCACTTTCCTGCCTTTTCCTTGTAACCCTTGATTCCCCGACTGACAGTATATTGTACCAGCTACTAAATAAAGAAAATTTGTTTTTTTTAGGACATTTGTATTAGTGCAGGGAAAGAAAAGGACATTGAAGCAAAACTGAAAGCTGTTATTAATGAATGGAGCGGTCATGTGCTTACCTTTGCCTCATTCAAGACGAGGGGTGAGTTGCTTCTCAAAGGATCAGATACCACAGAGAACATTGCACTAATGGAGGACAGTCTGATGATACTTGGCTCATTAATGAGTAACAGGTAACTGGATAACAAACTTTTTTGTAATGCACGAAATAATGGAATTGAATCATACATGAATTTATAAATATACAAATTAGGCACTGGAGTAAGCCAATCAGCCCCTCAAGCCTGCTCCACCTTTCAAGTAATATCATGGCTGATCTGATTACTCAACAACACGTCACTCGTTTACTTATCAAGATTTTATCTGCTTCTGTTCAAAGATTCCACCTCCACTACCATTTATTGTAGAGAATTACACGCTCAGGTCCTATTTCCTTATCACTGCCTTAAAATATATTGAAGCAGTGACCCCTTCCCCCCACGCCCACCCCTATTTCTAGATACTCCTCCTAAAGAAAACATTCATTCCACATGCACCATACCAAGACCCCCCAGGATCTTATGTGTGTCAATGAAGTTGCCTCTTATGTTTCTAAACTCCAATGGTACAAATCTACAGCTTGTCGAACCTTTCTTCATCAGTCAACCTGCACAATCCATGCATTAGTCTGCTATGTCTTCTCTGAACTGCTTCCAACACATTTACATCTTTCCTTAAATAAGGTGACTGATACTTTATACAGTACGTTTCTCAACAGTGCCCTGTATAACTAAGGTATAATCTTACTTTTTCATAAAATTTTCCTTGCAGTAAATAATAACATACTTTTATTAATTATGACACATTATTATTAACCTTTTGTGTTGCATGCACAAAGATACCTTGCCATCTCAGAGCAGTCTAATCTCTTACCAAAATGGACAACTTCACTTTTCCCACATTATACTCAATTTTCCTGATCTTTACCCACTCACTTAACCCGCTTATGTCCTCTTTACAACTTACTTTCCTACTTATCCTTCTGTCATCACCTAATTTAGCTACCATACTTCATGCAAATCATTCTTATAAATTACAAAAGATTAAGGTCCCAGCACTGATCTCTGTGGCACTCTACTCATTATATCTTGCCAATTGGAAAGTGACCCATTTATGTCGACTCTGTTTCCTGTTAACTATCCATGCCAACATGTTACCCCAACGCTATGAATTTTTATGTTCATATGGCACCTTGTCAAATGTCTTCTGGAACTCTATGTATTGCACATCTGCATAAGAATCACAAATCAACTTGGTAAAATGGTTCACCAGACTTAAACCATGAGAATAAAGATCCAACAGTATATTATTTAAACTCTTAGAATGAAATGCAAACTGGTAAATCCTATCCTTAGGTAATTAAATATCCTATATTAGAAGGGAAGTGTAATAAATGTTTTAAAACATGTAGTTATTGTAGCTGAAGAATTCACTATACACACTGAACTTCAGGTTTTATTATCTATTCAAATGTCAAAGATTTGAACATAATTGTTTTATGACACTGCAGATGTCAATGGCTGATTTTTCAATTTCCGTGTCTATCCTTTAATTAGGACATTGCTAAGAGCCTGAGCCCTTTATATTCTGGTGTTGTGTTGAATTTTATACACTTAGTTGAAATCAGGGAAGCAAAACACTTTGAAAATTGATTTTCAAAATTAAGTTTCTTCTGAAATTTTCAAACTTCTGAAAGATATGGGTAGGATTTATTTAGTCATTTTTTTGTGATCAATAATTGAACAATTAGAAATTTGAATGGTGAAAAAAATTACCGTGTTAAAGTTGAAGTGCCTGTGTTGTCATGAATGAGCTTTTTCAAAGATGTGGTTGTTTTGTTGGCAGGTACAATGCACCATTCAAGCCCATTATTCAACAGTGGGTGCATAAGCTCTCAAATACCACAGAAATAATTGAAAACTGGCTCACAGTTCAGAACCTTTGGATTTACCTGGAAGCTGTGTTTGTTGGTGGAGATATTGCAAAACAACTGCCACAAGTTTGTACAATCTGTGAAAGTAAAATGTGTTCCTTTTGAGAATTCTATAAAATGCATTTCGAATTACAGTTCTGTTGTCTTTGTAATTGTTGCCTGAAATGGAATGATTCAGTAAGTTTGACTATTTTTAAAAAAGAAAATATATAACTAACATTAATTATTCTTATTCTTGTGTGAATAATAGTCCTATAACTGCCCGTGGTGAAATGTTAGATTATGCTGCTTCTGACAGTACGATTAAGATGAATAACTCAGTAAATTAGGAACCAGTTTCACCCCTTTGTGTCAGAGTTGATTGGTCCTCTAGCCTACATAAATTAAATGCTCCTCTGTCACACTCATTTATGGTTACATTTCTTCTGACATTATGCTGCATGCAGACAAATTCACATTTCAAAATGTTTGGTGAACCATCTTGTATCACCAACTCAATGAACAAGCAAGACTAACTAAATGACTAAGAGAACCAGATTGATTTAATTCTTTGAAGGCAAGGAAGGTGAATTTTCATCTGAGTATGTGATCAAGGTTTGATACCACTTAAAGTAATCAGTTGAGTTCCTGCGGTGTTCCATGTTGGAAGTCAACGCCAAGCCCAATATTTAGGTTAAACAGGTTAGAAATCATTGGTACGACTGAACCCAGGCCAGTGTTTGAGCTCAGATAGCCCTGTTGTGATGAATAAAGCTCTAGCGTGTATTCTTCACACTCTCACAATTTTTTTGCAGAGAGCAAAATTGCACATTGTGCACATTCAACCACAAACCTCTCTTTAAGCCTGCTCCTATTTATACAATATATTTTTCGACCTGCTTAGACATGGTATAACATACTTCCAGGGCAGGTGGGGTTTGAAGCCTGACCTGAGAGCCCCATGAAGAGACACTCCCACTCGTATCACAGTCCTTGATGCTGTGTCTATGAACACAGGTGAGGCCCCAATGAAATTCCATCAACTTAACATATTTAAATATCCAATTTATTCCCAGTAACCAGTCAGGGCAGGGAAAGAGGAAGGGGGAGGAAGGGAGACAATATCAGAGAAAGGAATCTGGAAAATTGGAAGCAGCAAGTAAACAGCATGGGATAGGGCTAGAGGAATGGTGTATGGAACAACAGAATACTCGGCCTAATTTTCATAGCAGGGGACAAAGATCTGGTTGAGAGGGAGAAGAATAACATTTGTGGAAGATTTGCATTAATACGGGTCAAAGCCAGTTTTCCCCTAGGAGGTTGTTCTGAGCCAGTGCCAACTCCACCATAATATAAAATGGAGCTATTAAGGAACTGACTAGATCCATATAGAATGATGTAACTAGTGAGATATCCCGGGTATTAGTACTTCCATGCTGATCTAGTTTCATGTCAACAAACTCTTCTTCTTTCAGACAGCACAATGATTCATTGCAAGAACACTTTCAGCCTTGAGGACCAATCTATTATATGACTCTGCATTAAATGCTTTTCAGAAAACTAAATAAATTGTATCACTGACTTTTCCCTCTCCATAAGCTGTTTACCTCCTTAAATTATTTCTGCCAAGAAAGGCTTGCTTGTTACACTGCCTTATTTTGGATCTTTCGGAAAATGGTATAATTTGAAGAGAAATTGATGCTCCCTACACTCTGCGTGCCAAGGATTGTCTTGTTGGAGACAGGTAGAGGGATCCAGGAGGTAGTGCTGAAGGAGCCTCAGCCCTTGAGCTTGTCTTACAGGTTTACGATTCTTGCTCCCATTGCATTGTGATACAGGGAGCCATTCAAAAGGTGGGAAAAAAGAGAAATGTAGTGGTAATTGGGAATAGTATAGTCAGGGGAATGGACACCGTTCTTTGCGGTTAGGATTGAGAGTCCTGAAGGCTGTGTTGCCTGCCTGGTGCCTGGTGCCTGGGTTCAGGATATCTCATCTAAGATGCAGACAAACAGGGAGCGGAAGGGGAAAGATCCAGGTATCATGGTCCACATAGGAACCAACGATATAGGTAGAAAGAGGAAAGATGTTCTGCTGTGGGAATTTGAGCAGCTAGGGGCTAAATTAAAAAGCAGAACCAAAAATGTAATAATCTCTGGAATACTTTGTGAACCATGAGCAAATTGACACAGAGTCAACAAGATTAAAGAGGTAAACGCATGGCTCAAAGATCGGTTGGGAGAAATGGGTCTGAATTCATGGGACATTGGGACCAGTACTGGGGAAGGAGGGAGCTGTTCTGATGAGATGGGCTCCACCTGAATCATGCTGGGACCACAGTCCTGGTGAATCACATAAGTAGGGCTGTGGATAGGGCTTTGAATTAAATTGTGTGGCTGGGTTTAGTTGCATGGAAAATTATGGAAAATGTTGGAAGGGAGGAGATGGCTCAACAGAAGTTATTAAAGTTTCTAGAACAAGTGATAGAACAGAAAGTATAGAAAGGGCCAGGAATCTAATTTCAGGCACAACTATAAAGGGGTAATTATGAGAAGGGTGATGGTCACGCAGGACTGAGGGCGTTGTACTTAAATGCATGCAGTATACGAAACAAGTTAAATGAACTTGTAGCACAGATTGAAATTGGCGGGTCCAATGTTGTGTGTATCTTAGAGACGTGGCTGCAAGGGATCAAGGCAGGGAATTAAATATCCTCGGATAAATGCTCTATCGAAAAGACAAGCAGTTGGGCAGGAAGTAGGGTTGCCTTGTTAGTAAGAAATGAAATGAAATTGATAGCAAGAAGTGATATCGCGTCAGAAGGTGTAGAATCTGTGTGGGTAGAATTGAGGAACTGCAAAGAATAACAGACCCTGATAGGAGTTGGGTACAGGCATCCTAGCAGTAGTCAGGATGTGGGGACTAAAATAAATCAGAAGATAGAAAATACACACAAAAAAGGTACTATTACAATAACCATGGGGGACTTAAATATGCAGGTGGATTGGGAAAATCAGGTTGGTAGTTGATTGCAAGAAAAGGAAATCATGGAATTTTCTGAGAAGCTTTTTTTGAGCAGCTTGTGATAGAGCCCACTAGGGAACAGACAGTTCTGGATTTGATGATGTGCAATGAGGCAGACTTAATTAGGAAGCTTAATGTGAATGAATTCCTAGGGAGTAGTGACTATGGTATGATAGAATTCACCCTGGAGTTTGAGAGGAAAAAGTTGGAATCAGAGGTAATGGTATTACCATTGAGTTGCAAAGATGTGAGGGAAGAGCTGGCCAGCATTGATTTGGATGGAAGGCCTGTATCAGGGAAGACAGTGGAGCAGCAATGGCAGGAGTTTCTGGGGGTAATTCAGGAGGCACAGCAGAATTTCATCCGAAGAAAGAAGAAACATATGAAGGAGAGGGTGAGACAACCATGGCTGACAAGGGAAATCAGGAATAGCATTTAAAAAAGTAAAAGAATACAATATAGTAAAAGTTAGTGGGAAGCCAGAGAATTGGGAAGCCTTTGGAAACCAGCAGAGAATAACTAAAAAAGGAACAAATAGAAGAAGATGAAATGTGAGGGTACGCTAACCAGTAATATAAAAGAAGATTGCAAGTCATTTTTAGTTCTGTAAAAGGTGAGAGAGAAGCAAGAGTGGACATTGACCATCGGAAAATGAGGCTGCAGAAGTAGTCATGGAGAACAAAGAAGTGACAGAGGAACTGAATAAGTGCTTTGCATCAGTTTTCATAGTGGAAGACATCAGCCGCAGATCAGAATTTCAGCAATGTCAGGGCAGAGGTGAGTTCAGTGGTCATCACTAAGGAGAGGTTACTGGGGAAGCTAAAAAGTCCGAAGATGGATAAATCACCCAGAGTACTGAAGGAGATAGCTAAGGACCTTGTAGAGGTATTGACAGCGATCTTTCAGGAATCACTGTAGTCAGGGAGGGTCCCAGCAGTCTGTAAAATGGTTAATGCAACACCCCTGTTTAAAAAAAGGAAGGAGACAGAAGACAGGAAACTATAGGCTGGTTAGCCTGACCTCAGTTGTTGGTAAGATTTTAGAGTCCATTATTCAGGATGAGATTGCGGAGTACTGGGAAGTGCATGGTAAAATAGGGCTGAGTTAGCACAGCTTTGTCAGGTGGAGATCATGCCTGACAAATTTATTAGAATTGTTTGATGAAGTACCGAGAAAGTTAGACAAAGGAGACCCAGTGGATCTGATCTATTTGGATTTCCAGAAGGCTTTTGTCAAGGTGCTGCATAGGAGACTTCTAAATAAGAGAGGAGTCCATGGTGTTAGGGCAAGGTACTGACATGGATAGAGGATTGGCTGACTGGCAGAAGGCAGACAGTAGGAATAAAGGGTCTTTTTCAGGATGGCAGCTGGTGAATAGTAGAAGTTTGCAGGGGTCCATATTGGGACCACAACTATTCACATTATACATTAACCATCTGGATGAAGGAACTGAGGGCATTCTTGCTAATTTGCAAAGGAAGGTGGAAGGACAGGTGGTGTTGAGGAAGCAGGAAGGCTGCAGAAGGACTTGGACAGGCTAGGAGAATGGGCTAAGAAGTGGCAGATGTAATATAATGTGGGAAAGTATGAAGCTATGCACTTTGGTAGGAAGAATAGAAGCATACACTATTTTCTAAATTGGGAAAGGCTTCAGAAATCTGAAGCACAAAGGGACTCGGGAGTTCTAGTTCAGGATTCTCTTAGGGTTAACATGCAGTTTCAGTTCACAGTCAAAAGGCAAAAGTAATGTTAGCATTTATTTCAGGAGGGCTAGAATTCAAAAGCAAAGATGTACTGTTATGGCTGTATGTGGCTATGGTCATACTGCATTTGGAATATTGTGAGCAGTTTTGGGCTTTGTATCCAAGGAAAGATGCACTGGCATTGGAGGACATCCAGAGAAGGTTTAAAAGAATGACCCTGGAATGAAGGGCTTGTCATATGAGGAGCAGTTGAGGCCTCTAGGTCTGTACTTGATAGAGTTTAGAAGGATGAAGAGGGACCTGATTGAAATTTACAGAATACTGAGAGGCCTGGATGTGGATAAGATGTTTCCATTAGTAGGA